TGCGGATTTGTGTTGGTTAATTCTTTCAGATAAAGGTTTGCTGGTTCCTCCTATGTATATTGCATGGCAGGACTTCGATCACACATCTATAATACATCAAAACATCAAAGAAAAACATTGCCGTTTATTTTTAGAAAGCTGGAGCTCATTAGAAAATAAAAATAGTATCAATAGAAAGATTGACTTGCCAGATGTATATACTCAGTATAGAACCTCTTAGATGATTATGCTATTTACATGGTTATTTTATTTCATTTTTAATCGGATATTTATTACTATTATTTGTATATTTATTTCACAGTTATTTCAATTTTTATGATATTTTATTTGTTTAATTAATTCGATATCTCTTAATTTTCAATAGTTATTTACATATATCACTTTTTTCTTTTGATTATATTTACTCTGTTTAGAATGTATATATTAGATGGTTTATCGCCCAATAAGCTTAGAAGACGTCTAGTGGCTCACCTGGGGCGCGCGACCTGCTGCGTGCTTCACTGCAAAACACCTCGTAAAAGATGGAAGATTGATCCATCGAAATATCGGATTAATAAATAATCGTATTTAAATCCAAAATAGGCCTTATTTTTAAAATATTCCGCTTTATGCGTCCATCGGGGCTCAAAAATCATTCATTTTGGTTAGCAGTCCCGTAAAATGAAGATATTTTCTCTTTCCCGATGGCCGGCTCAAATCTTTTGTACATTATGTAAATAATACTTATAAATGACTGCGGCGTATAATTATAAAGCTATACAACCAGTTTAACCGCATAAGTTTCTTTTTATTTATGAAAAATCATTTTCAATTTCAAAGAGAAATAATTTAATATTTCTAACTTTCATCTATTCAACAATTCATCTATTTCATATATTCAACCTTTTCATACGTCATCCAAAAAGTTAGAAATATTAAATTATTTCTCTTTGAAATTAAAAATGAGTTTTCATAAATAAAAAGAAACTTATGCGGTTAAACTGGTTGTATAGCTTTATAATTATGTAAATAAGTTTTTCATTTTTTTATTCTTACGCCTTAAGCCAGGCAGTACTTTTATCAAATTGTGTCTTTTATATATTCCTTATCTCAATTAAAGAATTCACTAATCAAAAATCTTTTAAATATCTTTACCCCCGACTGCATTTCCATACCATAATCCTCAACATGATCTAAATTCAAGCAAAAAATATCATTTATATATACAGGTATAACATATATGTCGTAAACCCGGGTAAGCCAACAAGCGAGTTGGAAGCAGTCGGGGTTGAGTGGCAAGGCGTGCAGAGTGGGAAGTCCGCACGGAACAGTAAGAACAAAGTTTGGGATCAAAAGACGCTCTCCTAGTACGTCTCACGTGGCACCAGGACCAGGGAAAAGTTGAGGGTTAACTGAGGAAAGCTCGGCGTCCTGCATGAAGCCGCGGAGGCAAGGAGGAGCCAAAACGGCGGACACGAGGGCCGCCGTGAGATGACAACGGAGCTAGACTGAGCGGGGCTGTCCGAAAATATCCACTGAAACCTAACTAACTGTCAACATCCGGACCAACGCCCCTTCTTTGTCCCTCTCTGGATCCCCCGGGTGTCCGGTGGCAAGCTGGTGTCACTTTGAGACGACTAGAAAGGACGTCATACTTTATTACTTACATATCACATTGTTTAAATTACGATATATATATATATATGAAAAAACAATAGAAAAAAATAAAAGATAAGTGGGACAGGTGTTGATATTAAAAATAAAGAAGGCATCTCCTGACCACGAGCACATGTGCTTTTTAGATGGCAGAGCGCCATCTAGTGGAGCAAAAATAAACTAAACGTTTATTTAGCTTGCTCCGTGATATTTGGCCAACCCAATTTCTTGATAAATCAAGAAAAGCCATCCACGAACGCGTTTCGCACTGTTGGCGCTCGTCAGCGTGGAGAAGGCTGTAACCACTGCGACCAAAAAAGATTTTTTGGTCCCAATGGCTTCCCGAAAATATACAATATATATACAAGTATTTACATACAAAGTATATATTAAAGCCGACCCAATATGCTTGTGCTTTTCTTTTCTATTTTTAGATCAATATCTTCCCGGCAAAATTTCCATCTATATTTTAGCCTATATTCGACCTAGTCACTCTACCAGCTAAACACCTCTTTGGTAGATTGTGAAGATTCCATTAGATCCCGTGTAGATCTCATGGAATAAGGTCCGCCCTAGACTGACGAGGGCCATTAGTCCGAAACCATGGTCTCTAGGTGGACGCTTCTCAGTTTGCCAAAGCTGATATTGTGGCTTTGTCACCGACCTGAGGCCGCTAGTTTGCGACGACGGTCAATAGATGGCGTCTAGTTTTGACGTCTATTTTGACGAGAGAGGTGAACTTTGTGTTTTTAGATTAATTAGAGAAGTTTCAGTAAGGTTATTTATTTATCTAAAATGGTAAGCTTTCAAGTCATAGCCCTTTATCAAGTTTAAAAGTTACGCAAATATTTACAATAAATAGATAAGTAACACTTGAGAGAAAAAAATAATCCATCCAGGGAAGAGATCAGACATGATAAGCCACGTTTGGAATATAAAAAGAGAGATTAAGAGGAACGTGGTAAGTTTCTTTATTAAGCAGAGTACGAGCTTTCGGACGTCAGCCGTCCTTCATCAGGTATTGACCTGATGAAGGACGGCTGACGTCCGAAAGCTCGTACTCTGCTTAATAAAGAAACTTACCACGTTCCTCTTAATCTCTCTTTTTACCATCCAGGGAAGAGTTTATTGCAAAAATATCCATTCAGACAAAACTTAAGGAAGCTGTACCTTTTAGCATGTATATCGGGATTCAGACAATACACTCATGGAGACAACTTAAGGAAGTTGTACCTTTTAACATGTATATCGGGATTCAGACAATACACTCATGGACAAAACTTAAGGAAGTTGTAACTTTTAACATGTATATCGGGATTCAGACAATACACTCATGGACAAAACTTAAAGAAGTTGTACCTTTTGACATGTATATCGGGATTCAGACAATACACTCATGTACAAAACTTAAGGAAGTTGTACCTTTTAGCATATATATCGGGATTCAGACAATACACTTATGGAGACAAAACTTAAGGAAGTTTTACCTTTTAACATGTATATCGGGATTCAGACAATACACTCATGGACAAAACTTAAGGAAGTGGTTCCTTTTAGCATGTATATCGGGATTCAGACAATACACTCATGTACAAAACTTAAGGAAGTTGTACCTTTTAGCATATATATCGGGATTCAGACAATACACTTATGGAGACAAAACTTAAGGAAGTTTTACCTTTTAACATGTATATCGGGATTCAGACAATACACTCATGGACAAAACTTAAAGAAGTTGTACCTTTTGACATGTATATCGGGATTCAGACAATACACTCATGTACAAAACTTAAGGAAGTTGTACCTTTTAGCATATATATCGGGATTCAGACAATACACTTATGGAGACAAAACTTAAGGAAGTTGTACCTTTTAGCA